TTATTTCACACAGAATAAAACGACTGATGCTCGTATGCTTGCGCAAAAGCTGTGCACCATTTGCTGTCCTTTGTAATTTGAGACTATTCATCAGAGTACTGTGATATGCTACTAACTATGTCACTCACTTTCTTTATCTGTAATAACTAAATGTGCTCTATATATTCATCTCATATATTCGTCGCTTAGCTTTCATTTCACACCTGATTTGGGTAGCATCCTAGGTTGCTACACCACAAACGTTTTCCCACTGATTCAAATAGAACGCGCGATCCATAACAGTGAGATTGGCTGATTCCGGTGGCATGGTTCTTATCCCTCATGTACGAAAAAGGCAGAGCATTGCTTATCTTGTCAATGTGGAACATTGTTGTTTATGCGGAGCCCTGAACATAACATAAAACGTGCGCACTACCCAACCAAGATAAAACAGCTGTCCAGTGCTCTTTGTCGGTCATCACACATCCTTCCACCGCTTTGTAACATATGCCTTTCCTTTTTGAAAGTGTGAACATCAGTTTGTTTCATGAACATGGTCCTGGCAAACAAGCCTATTTCCAGGCCGCTACTGGACAGGGTTTGGCTGATTGCCTTATGGATAATATATGAGTGTGAGCCTCAAAGCCCGGGATATTCTATCTAAGAATGTTTTGACTGTTATTTCTACTAGTAAAGAAACAGCTTGAGTAATCATACTCAAATACGATGCATTTGGTTTAAAGATAGCTCAGATTTTCCTAAGTTGAAGGAATATGTTTACGCTGGCCTCCATCGATGAAGGAAATAACTTAACGTAGTGTACCATTATCTCTGTATTTACGAAGATATTCAGAGTAGTAGTCAAGCAGATCACGAATAAATGTGTCAAGCACAACTGGAGGCAGAAAAAACACGATGAGGTATCAATGATTAGTTCAGTGTGAGGCCGGATAGCTTGCCCACCAGCTGCTGCGTTGCACTCATTGCAAAACATACTTTTCTAACAATGCCAGCAAATTAGTAGGGCAACCCAAAGAGTGAACAAGTTTTATCAGTCGGACTGAGTGAGTTCATTGAAAAATACACAACGGAGCATCTCGGATACTCCTGATAGGTTTGATTCATCAGGGTCTGTTGTCTGTTGATGATTTGTGAACACCAATCTACAGGTCAGATGAAAGCACATCGGATGGGGTAGTATAGTATTGAGACCTGACCACTTATATTACATTTGATCGATTTTCTATTGTTAGAAAGATACTCCAGTTTTGTTTCTTTCTTCCTCCGTATGCTCTTAACGCTTGAAAATGACATTATTTCGCCCCCACCCCACTTTGTATTAGGTCACCGGATTCCGCAAGGGAATGGAATGCCGATCAGAGTAAGCTGAAACAAACACAACCCAATGACTCCGGTTCGTACAATCCAGCTCAAAAGTTTCCACCGGAGGACTATTCAGATCGCCTGGATGACAAGCATCCCGGATCGTCTCAGTCCGCCTCAACTTGGCTCAAAGACTACGAATTCCGACTGCCTCAATCTCTGGCTAACCCGGTCAAGCCATCTACAATACGTCGGGAAAACCAGTACCGGAATGAACACACCGAATTAGGCTTGGAACCTAGAAAACAGTTTGCCCTGAATATTGGTCTGATTGCTTCCGTTTCCGTGGGTGGAATTTGTGTGTTAATCGCACTCACCTGTGTTATCTATCGATGTATGCGTCGAGATGAGGGTTCGTACAATGTGGACGAGAACTTGGCCTATACAGGGGAGAGCCATTCCATGCTGGGATCCAGTGGTCCGGGAACACGCGTGGCACGTAAACGGGACGGGGACATGCAAATGAGTGTTCTGCGTCACACGCCAGACGCAACCGGTCACACCACACAAACGATGCATGGTAATGATGCGGGGCCAATGAAATCTGCCCTAATGGTCACTTTCAATGACAACTGTAAAGATGCATTTACCGGCCCGGGCACATTAGGCGCTCAACCGGCAACTTCTGCCGATATGGTCTCATCCAAACAGGAACTGCTCTCCTCGCCATCCATTCAATCGGCAGATAATTCTGTGAAACGCTCACGACTGGTGAAAATAGAGCAACCGTTTGATCGGCGAACATTGCGTTCCACAGCCAAGTCAAAACACTGCAAAGATGTAACAGATTCTCAAGAGTGGTATGTCTAATCACAAGAAACACCACCCCGCCCCTCCCGTTCCCTTCACCTAATTCAACTCAATACTGTACAGAATTCCCAACTCACTATTGATCACCCACTCTTTTCTATTCTTACCTATTAGTATACTGCACTGAAGAATATTGACAGTTATGTGATACCAACACGACCCCGACTAGAAAAAGAACAACAGTTATGAAGAGAACTTGTCTGATATAATCATGAACAGCATGCATCACAAGTCCATATTTTCCAGATATAACTGTCAGAAACACTCCACATTTAATGAGAAGTATATTTTGTACAAACAAAAGAAATATGAACCCACTTTAGTCAACTCATCTCAACTATTCCCGTCCTGTTCCAAGCGTACCGGTTAGGATGAATAACATCGAAACTTTGATGAATTGAACAAGCGTAATTACATGCGATCAACAGCGCAACCAATTGGATGCACAAGTGCGCACGCACATACTTACCTAGATACATTCATACATACATACATACATACATACATACATACATACATACATACATACATACATACATACACATACATACATACATACATACATACATACATACATACATACATACATACATACATACACATACATGTGGCTGCGACGCGCGTTACCTGGTGAGATTTCAGCTACAAAATTTCCCACTCCTGTCCGACCTTTCAACTTCAATCTCCATCTGCCCCCACCCACCCCACCCCGGCTGTTCTTCTAATATTTNATCAATTTTTTGGGTCGGACAAACAAAGTTGAATGTTCTAACACAAACACACAAGCTTTGTTTCTATGACATCGGAATGGCGTCTGTTTCTGTGTCCAACGCAGCGTGTATAGGAAGTAGGGATCAGATGCAGAACTAAAGTAGCACATAAGTGCCACGTTCATCCAAGTCTGGTGAAACAGATCGCTGTATTATTATTATTGCACTTGTAGAGGACGTCAGCTGTGGGTAGGGTTTATCATGAATTTCTACCTTGTGTCAGGATCGTTACACACTTATAATTGGCTACCGTACAAAAGATAATGGGCGTTGTCGAAATAGCTCTGTAGAGCGCATCTAAAACAAAACAACAGAGTGGCGAACAAGCTGGTTTTCACAGACTCGTATTCATGCCAATATGCGTTACTGTTGCGGTTCATTTTGGACGTGTGCAACTCGCCATATTATACCCTGACAAAGTGGTTGGTCAAATTATTGAAAAACGTTCAAGTAGGTTTGGAAAAACAGAGTCGTAAATACATTTACTTTTGTAAACAAATTCGTGACATAACCTTGGTCGATCGAACAATGCTCTCGCTGGACGTCAGTTCGTTGTTCACGAATGTTCCCATCAGCGAAACGAGTGGATACCTGTGCAGTTACGTGCGACCCAATAATGTTGAACTCGGCCTCCCTTTAGATTACTTAAAATAACTGCTTCATTTCTGTACATATAACATTCAATTCAAGTTTAACAATGAGATCTATTGACAAAATAATGTTATAACCATAGAATCTCCGCTTGGACAGCTTCTAGCGGAATTATTCATGGTGAAACTTGAAAATACTCAGTGGCAGTCAGACTGTGTTCCATACGAACGGTACGTAGATAACATTTATTGTGTAATCAATGCAACATCGAACACACAGGAATTATTGAACAAGTTCAACACTGCGCTTCCCAACATAACATTTACTTAAGAAATAGAGTGTAATAGCAAATTGCCGTTTCTAAATGTCTGCATCATCCGTCAATCAGATGGTTTGGTTCAACTTTCCTTGCATAGAAAGACACCTTGGAAAGACCGATACGTCCATTTCCGAAGCTTTGGACCAACTAAGGTATAAAGGACCTCGGTTTCTTCCCTAGCGCACAGGTCGGGAAAGATCTGCAGTGAGGACACGCTAGAAGAAGAGCTCCATGCTTTGAACTTCCTGTTTGCACGTAACGGGTATCCGGAGGGTTTCGTTAAAAAATTAATTCCTGTTTTTTTTTAAAAACAAGCGTGAGCAAATAGCTTGTCTTATGATTCCTAGAACCAGATCGAATGGGTTAATGGTAACCGCATTTTGCTGATAGGCAACAGTGATCAGTCTGGTTAATTGTTTGAATTCCCTTGGTGGAGACCAAGACCACATTGATCCGATTGTCCTGAGTTCTGTCCCCACCAACGGTGTACGAGTATTTGCTTGATTTGTTCATGAGCAATACTTAATTGGTTGGCGTCTCCCCATGCAAAAGAGTAAGTGCTGAACGAAAAGAAAGTGAAATGCTCGCAAACGTTGTTTTCTATACTATTAAGCAATATGCGCTCGTAAAGAACGACACAATGTAAAGGAATGCAAAGGAAAAGACATGTGTAATGAATGAGTATAATTATATTTGCACCACGAATATCGTACGTTCACAGGAACATCCTTTGATCAATACCAGCCGCAAAGATAGGTCACCAACAATGGACACCTCTATGTTTATTTGCTCATACAGGTGAGTTTGCAATGCGAATAGCATTGACAGCTGGACCAGGTGAATATCGCAACGAATGAAGGAAAACTGCCACACTGGTTAAGACAAGGACTTAGGAAGTGCCATTTTTGGTCATCCACTTTGGATGCAGACCATCAAATTAGACCACAATCCACGTTCACCAGGTGTATCCAATACGTCTAAGGCAGTGCAGTTACACGTACTAGCCACCGTTGAGGTGATATGCATTCAGATTTTCACATCAAATATGGGCGCACATTGGCGACCGATCCGAGCTCTCCACTTTCCCTGACCCCAAATTAATCACCAACATGAACGACGTCACAACAAACACTAATCACAATCGGTTTCACCCTACCTCAGACACATAAGGCTCACCCTATCCCGAATGAACTTTCGACCGCGCGCAAAAATGTCCCTACTAACAGAAGATCCTTATTTGATCTCTACAGGCAGGATTATGAAGCGAAAACAATTAGTCATCTCCGGACGTGTGCTAAAATGTTACAGTGGTATTTTTTGTGGAATTATATTCTGTCTTGTATTCTGTCTACATCGAGTAAGCGAACTGTAATCTACGTGCACAGGAACATAGGATTTCCATTTTCGAGCACAAGAACCAAGTGCTGCCGAGAAGGTAAGGCTTTAAAAGCACGGCCAGTGGTTATCAGTCGGAACAAAATGGAGTGATTCGGTGCGCGTGAATGAAGGTATGCAAATGGAAGGTTGGCTTATCCGATGCGAGTAGAAATTTTACAGTTTTGTTTTAGGCTCATTTTGAAATCAAGGTTATGTATTATGTTACGCATGATCAATAATACCCAGTTACCAATGCATTAAGATCAGTGCTCGGGGAATATTGATGACAAACTGAAATCCCGCGACTTTGAAATCGAAAGAAAGGAGGAAGCAAATGTTGCCACTGCGGGACAAACCAAGACATCTAACATTATAAAACAGAACTTTCGAGAGACAACAAGGTGCCCAATTTGAGAGAAGTTGGAAGTTATCCCGTGAGTGAGGATATGTAATTTGATTCAGTCACGAAAGACTTAACGATATGATATCAAACCCCATAGGGCTTCAACAATACTTTGCCTAGCAACCTCACAGATAAATCATTTTAATGAGGTGGCTGGACTAAGTGTGGCCACAAAATTTGAACACATCAATTGTTGTTTTGTTAGGCATGAAGAACAAGACCAAATAATGCTTCCAAATTTCTTTTTAAACGTACAGCAAATATCTAAGAGTGAGTGCGTTTGTTAGCACTACAATGAAAGGAAGATGATGATGTTAAATTGAGGCACAATATCCTCTCAATCCACAAGGTTGTTGTATCATGAGAGTTCTAGATAGTGGCATAGTGAGACGGGCGCACATGAACTACAATTATGGTCTTGTCCTACTGAAGCAGCAGCGGCAGCAGAAACGACAACAGATCGAGCTTCTGCGTGTGAATTGGTTTGTTGGAAGACAAACGTTTTCAATTATTACGATAACAGTCGTTAGTTTTGGCCGTTGATCATGTAACTCAGAACACGCTGTTCCGGTTCGCTAGTAAAAAACATGCAACGGGGGCATACACAAGTGCCTTTACACACAAATGTGGGATCCCAATCATAATGTATCCACACATATAAAAAAATGTGGGAAATAAATAAACTTCGAAAAAGTGATGCTCCCACAAAAACAAGAACAAAACACACACCAAGACGGCTGGTATAAAAACATTCACGGGGAATTAAACAGGTCTTAAGTTCATGAGAATATTAGTATGGAGAAGTTATGGCATTTGGGAAAGCATAACAGTTCACACAAACACAAGTT